AAAACAAACAAAAGAAGCAAATTATTAAAATAACACGTATTACATTTCATTTAACAGATTACACATGCAATGAAACATATTGTTGAAACAATTTGTTTGTAAAAGTTTTTTTTTTATGAGTTTTCATGGCAGTTATACCGTTCTGAATAGCAGGCATGTTTCGAAAACCTAGAAAGAGTGAATAATTTTGTGAAGCAAATGGTTCAATTGAATTCAAAGTTTTAAAAAACTTTGTTTCTCCGATCACAATACAATGGCTGAGGAAGTGACTGTAAATTTGACATTCTCTCTTTTGACCAACGTAATTGAAATCAATGTTTTTTTCCTCTTTTGTAAAGTCATATAAACACTATAAATTGATTTTTCTTTTGCTATTGGAACAAATGGGAATGTAAAAATTATATTTGTTTTGTAGTTATAGTTCATGTTCACCACTATGAAAGAAGAACCCTGAAAATATGAGAAGCATCCAGGGACACATTACTGTTCCATGAGGCCACAGGTGAGAATTTGTTAATGGCAGATAAGCAAAGCAACTGTTATAAGCAAAGGCAAATTTTGTACGTCTGGATTGCATTCATACTACATACTGTACGCTCTTAAAAACAAAGGTTTCAAAATGGGGTTTTCACACCGATGCCATATAAGAACCTTTTTGGGTTCCCAAAGAAATCTTTCTGTGAACAGTTCTTTAAAAAAATCATTTTTTATAATGTGAAGAACATTTTTTTTTCCACTATAAAGAACCCTTTTGTGTAATGGAAACGCTTTATAGATTGAATTACTTTTTAAACGGTCACAAAGTAATACTTATTCAAAAGAAGTACCTACTCAGAAAGTAAGCGATTTCAGATGAACTTCAGGAACTTAGAGTCCCATCTCAACTATTACGTGACTCACTTAATGTGCTGTACTCAAATTGCCAGCGTGCTGAAACCAAGATTTAGGTGTTCGGTTGTGGGTGTTAATTGATTCCTAGCGAGGTGTGGTGTGATTATGTAGGAGAGGCTGGTGTTATGATGTTCAGAGTTGCTTGCTGTGAACATCCTTCATGGTGTCAGTGGAAAAGTGCCAAGAGAGAATAAAACAGACTTTCTCTCCGACAAGAGGAGACAGTTCTTTCACTCACTGAATCACTCATTCATTCAGCGATTTACTCACTGATGCACAGTATTACTGACTTATTTTGTTTGCCTACCACAGTGAATCTCAACCTTTTGGCGTACCGGACCCCAGTCCAATTCAGAACCATCCTCAAGGACCCCCAGAACAAAATGAACTTGTATCATTTGTGTCTTTGTGAGGACCAAATGCAGTCAAGTATAATTCAATTTAGCTGACTTGTCCAGTATTTGGCCATATCATCAGCTATATTGGATTTTTCTTTCATGGGAACATGTCATGTCAAAATATACAAAATTTATACAAAAATTCATACTTTAGACGGACCCCCTGGCCTTATGTCAAGGACCACTAGGGGTCCACGGACCCCTGGTTGAGAAACACTGGCCTACCACACCTGCTCAATCAATTGAACTGAGCACTGAGGCATAATACAAACTATCATTTCTAATCATCATTTTTCTGCCCAAACATAAGACAAATTCTTCAGATTTTTTGCCAATTCACTTCATTAGCGGCACAAACTGACTAAGCATCAAAGAAAACCTAACCTAAACCTGTTTTGTACACAAAGCTATATTACTTCACAAGACTTCGAATATATATACTACTTTTATTTGTTGTTTTGTTTGTTCTTTTTAAAGAACAAAAAGTCGATGCTCATTGTAACTGCATGAAAAGAGTGATCAACGCAGTCTTTTGTACTGCACAGAGGAAAGAAAGTCATTCGGTTTTGAAATTACATGAAGGTGAAGTAAATGATGATGGAATTTTCATTTTTGGTGAACTATGCCTTTAAACATTTTAGGCTCTAAGGAGAACTGTATTCGAGACTTGAGCTACGAACTAATGAATAGGACATCGATGTTCTCAATGATAACATCAGTTAAGCGCCATCCTTTTACTCCATGAATTAAAGAGGTAATGAATGCCGATTTAAACCACCGCAATAAAATCTCTGTGAGTGATTATCTGAACAGCTGAAACGTTCACACAGTGTTTTTGGCAGATATAAGTCATTTTACGCTTGTATTAACTGGCATGTAAATTCGTGGCATGAATCAGAGAGAGGGATCCCTGCTGACTGCTAGTGATTATAGTTGTTGACAGTGTTTAGTACATTGTGGAAAGAGTTCTCCCTCTCTTTCTCCATCTCTACCACTCTCACACACTAGATGGCTGAACATGTGATAGGATTACTATGTGTGAGCCTGTATTTTGTAGTCTTCTCATTGCTTAGACTGGGAGATTGGATTCACACCCTGACATTCACAACAATCTATGCGGGATAACATATATATATTAGGGGTGCAACGGTTCAACTTACTCACGGTTCAATTTGTATCACGGTTTTAGAGTCACAGTTTCGGTACTGTTCGGTATGTGCTATGTTTAGGGAAAAAAACTATATTGTCAAATAAAAATAATGAAGATAACAAATAATCTAACTACAAGAAATAGCACAAATAAATACAATAGAGCAAAGATACAAATAAAATAAACAGTGCTTTTCAGGTTTTTTAGGTAGGTCTAACATTAGTTTTTAGGTACAGAATCAAGAGCAGTGAGAGATTTCCGTGTTGTTGCTGTTTGATTAACATTAAGAAAGTGCTGTCACTTTAAGAGAACGCACTGATCCAGTGCACTGATACTGTTTGTTCAGCTGTCTATGTCTGCTAGGATCCTAACCAAGATGGGCATTTTGACATAATTTTTGTGTGAATTTGTCCATTCAAACACAATACTTCACAGAGAGCTTAATATTTGCACGCGTTCTGAGATGCAGGTTCACTTGCTTCGGATGAGCGCACACACAGATCTTCTCACTGGGCGCGCGAGTTCAAGTCTTCTGGCTTTTTAATATTTAAACTGGCAAGGCTTAAATGAGTAGTTTAAACACAGATAGCAACGTGTGCTGTTCACCTGCGCTATCAACTCGTGATGGTGGCATAAATGACAGTTATTCCAGCATACAGCACTCGCATTGAACAAAGAGTGACTGGTTTGTCCACGTATTGTTTTTTCTCTCTCATCGCTCTTGTTGTAATGTATTGGGAAGCCAGAGTTTGTATCCATCAACAGAAACATGCATTAGCTGAGCTCTAACAAACCATATTACAGATGCATTGTCAGATTTAAGTTGAACCGCGGTCCTAGTGCATGCCGAACC